GATTGCTAAAATTGAAAAGTATTCCTTGTTCTTCAGTGGGCGCCTGATTGCTGAAATTGAAAAGTACACCCTTGTTCTTCAGGTGGGCGCCTGATTGCTGAAATTTGAAAGTATTCCCTTGTTCTTTCAGGTGGGCGCCTGATTGCTAAAGTTGAAAAGTATTCCTTGTTCTTCAGGTGGGCGCCTGATTGCTGAAATTGAAGAGCATCCCTTGTTCTTCAGGTGGGCGGCCTGATTGCTAAGATTGAAAAGTATTCCCTTGTTCTCAGGTGGGCGCCTGATTGCTGAAATTTGAAAGTATTCCCTTGTTCTTCAGGTGGGCGCTGATGCTGAGATTGAAAAGTATTCCCTTGTTCTTCAGGTGGGCGCCTGATTGCTGAAATTTGAAAGTATTCCCTTGTTCTTCAGGTGGGCGCCTGATTGCTGAAATTGAAAAGTATTCCCTTGTTCTTCAGGTGGGCGCCTGATTGCTGAAATTTGAAGAGTATTCCCTTGTTCTTCAGGCGGGCGCCTGATTGCTGAAATTTGAAGAGTATTCCCTTGTTCTTCAAGGTGGGCGCCTGATTGCTGAGATTGAAAAGTATTCCTTGTTCTTCAGGTGGGCGCCTGATTGCTGAAATTGAAAGTATTCCCTTGTTCTTCAGGTGGGCGCCTGATTGCTGAGATTTGAAAAGTATTCCCTTGTTCTTCAGGGGGCGCCTGATTGCTGAAATTTGAAAGTATTCCCTCTGTTTTTGCATCAGAGTCGGTTTTGAGTCTTTGTAATAGACGTAGTTGCTATCAATAAACTCGAAAAATTCCCAAAAATATTCTGCTTCTACTTTACATTTATTCTTCACGAACTACGCCTGGTCTGATTCACGCGGGTCGTGATACGTAGGCAATCTCCATAGGATTCGACCATTTCTAAATAATAAAAGGAAAACTAAAAAGGAATGATACAAATAGGGGGAAACCAAAGGAAGGAGAATCCAAAAGAGGGAGAAAAAGGTGAAAAGGAAAGATAAGAGTAGAACTAATTGCAAGAGAAAGACATGAAAAGCCGGGATGACGCATGTGATTGAACAGCGACATAATAGCAACGTTTGACTGCTTAGGTGCATCCATCCATCAATGTGCGGTTATCTATTTGTTAATGCCCTAACCGCTAACAAGTTGTTGTTAATGAGTCCAGGCAGGTGTTAAGCTGACTGGCATTCTGGCAAACCCACCCTTACAACACCCGCTCCAAGGACAAGTCGAAAATGGCCAACCAAGATCTAGAAGCAAGCATCGTTGACCATCCAGAGAGGAGAGGCAATGGATGTGAATACAATGAGAGAGGAGATGTATAAGTTAAAGCAGCAGATGGCCGAAATGTACAGGCCTGGTCGAAGGGACATCCCCACCAGTCTATCCTGCCTAAACCCCAATATCCCCCCACCAGCTCAACCCCAGGATCCTCCCACAATGAACTCATATCCTGCTCTCCCTATCCACCACATATATGGAACCACCTCTCCGACACCACCACCACCACCCTCCAAGCAAATTCCATGTCCCCCACACCAATTGCTCCAGTATTCGTGGCTCCTCCACCCACCCATTACACAGATCCTCTAGTGAACCTCTGTTCCAAACCCAGGAAAACCACTATACCACCCGAACCCACCTTCAAGCCCCTAGAACCATGATCTTACGTCCCCATTTTAATCCTCAGCTGAAGAAGAGAAACCTCCCAAAAACCTGGATTTCTTCAGAAATCTTTAAAAGATGATTCGGACGTCAGTGGCTGGCCAGAATTCCTAAAATCAGTAAGGTTCTTTTCTTTGACTGATTTTCGTTTATTCTTTGCATAATAACTTCGTTCAAAACTTTTAGGTTTGATTCAGTGTTGGGTGTCAATTAATTGTTCCATAAATACTGTTGTTAATTTGGTTCCAACTCTGTTCATTTACTGATAAATTCATTGTTTAGCTTGATTTAGGTGGTTTTGGTTGATGAGATTTGAGAAGAATAATTAGACCCTTAGTTCAATTTTAGGATGGCTTGGATATAGCTGTTTTAGCAGGGATTCGGTTTACCCTAGTTGGGTTTTGACTAAGATAATAGGGCCAAGTTTAGGGTGATCTAGGTCAGTAATTACAGTATAGTTAAAGGATATTTTGGGCATTGAAAAGGGTAATTTAATTAGATTTGGTAATTTCTGAAGTGAGGTAAGGATAGAATAGGAATTGTAATAAGTATAGAACCTTCTAGGATGGACTATAGTGCAGGTTTCAGTAAACTTAGGGTAGTTACTTGTGACACAAGTCAAAAAATAAGAGGAAAAAGTCATAAAATCAGGGACCTAAGGAGTAAATCTAATTCCTAAGGTTGCCCTATTCCTTTGCCTATAAAAGACACCTTTTCTTGCCTTGGAAGGCAAGTCCTGGAGAGCTAAAAAAATACAGAAATACAGGCGGCTGGAATTTACACATTTTTGGACTGTTCCATTAGAGTTTTTTTTTGAGATTTGTGAGGTTTTCATTGCTGAAACAATTCCTGAATATTCAGAGATTAAAATGAGTTGAACTTGCTGGTTTTCAATTGTTGATTGAAGTTTTGGCTGCATTTAGACTATTGAGGGTCATTTGATCATTCTACTGGTTTGAATTTGGCAAAAACTGGTTTATTTTCCTTGGTTATTTCTGGGCTGGTTCTGTTGCTGTGGTCGATCCTGTTGCTGAACTATCCATTTCTGCTTTTTGTTTTGAAATCCAGGTATACATTTCTGCCCTCCATTTGAATGTAAAGCTTGATTTGGGAATGGACAGTGGAATCTGGAGCTTTGAGCCGTGTTCATTTTTATTTGGTTTGATAATATAGTTTACCTGTTTGCTTGGTCTTATTTTGTGAGTTCCATGTACTGTCTCTCCAACCTTGAGCAATATAATCAAAGACTTAGCTTCTGAGTAGTATGTGTTGTGATAGCTAGTTTGAGATCCATCTCAATATAGTTCTTTACATGTATTCATTTGTACTGTTCATTTGTTTTAAGGTCAGTAATTGGACCGGTTTAAGTGCAGTTGGTTTGAGCTTGATTTTAGGCTGCTAGATATGTGTTGAGGGGGGTTTCCCAGGCCATTGTAAGATCAACATCTGCTTGTTTAGAGGGGAAATCAGAATGTGTTTCATGGTTTTTTTTATATATGATTGAGGTTGGTTTCATGTTTGAGTTACGTCTGCTTTTGGAGTCTAAATTGTGTATCACATTTGTCTAGTGCATCTTTATAGTTCCACCAGTGCGCTTGTGTTCTGAGGAACTGTGATTCAAGCCATGAATTCACGGTTCGATAAGTTCCAAGCCTGCTAACAGTAACATATTGACGATGTAGTGGGATGTTGAACTTGGAATCAGTTTTTGGATTGTTTTATGAGATCATGTACTGGCACTGTATTGCACTTAAATTACCATGCCTGTTAATTCATTAAGGTACTGCTGTAATCATAGCTAGGCAAGAATTCTGTTGGGACATGAATGGTGAAGCAAGTCTTAAGCCATCTCTGAATATGCTTCAAGTGAAATTAGTATTTTAGACCATCAGAATATCTCACTATTTGATACATGTTTAGACTACCAAGCCCAGAAATGAACAGTACACTTTGTTTTGAATTCGACTTGGGATCATCTAATGCCTCTCTTGTACACTGTATTACGCCATCACAGGGACTCGATCTTGAGCCCCTGTCGTGCATTTGCATCATGAATTGGGCTCATATTGGGCCTGAAATTGAAACAGTCTGCCCAAAAATCAGAATGGCTTGCTTGGTGTTATTTGAGCCTGCTTGATGCGTGCCTTCAACTACTGAGCCAATTTCGATAAATAACCAAACGATTAGAATCCTTTAATTTTTCTTTAAGTCATTAGTGGAGGCAAGCCATATTAGATAATAAAAATAGCTTCTGGCCTCGTTTTAATTTTATAACCTAGATATTAAAAATGACTAATACTTCGTAGAATATCCTTTAAGGCCGTTTAAAATACCAAGTGTGGTTGCGTATACGTTCGCGTAACACAACTACATTTTCTAAAAACAAAACCGGAGTATGCGTTCGCGCAACTTCGGCCCAAACACTCTTAATAATAATTAAGCGTTATTAATTGTGGACACGTTCGCGTGACATGATTTTTGACACACCAAACAGGCGTGTATACGTACGCGTAACCCGTCTCAAGATAATTTTCTAATTAAAAGCGGTGAAAGAAGCAAAAGCATATAGGTTCTAAAATCTATAATTAAATATTTGATTAAGCCAAGTATGATCAAAGCGACCGTGCTAGAACCACGGAACTCGGGAGTGCCTAATACCTTCTCCCGGGTTAACAGAATTCCTTACCCGGATTTCTGGTTCGCAGATTGTATACAGAGTCATTCTTTTCCTCGATTCGGGATTAAAACCGGTGACTTGGGACACCATAAATCTCCCAAGTGGCGACTCTGATTTTTAAAAATAAATCCCGTTTCGATTGTCACTTCAAGTTGGAAATAACTCCATTTACTTATACCCTCTTTCCGGGGGTGTAGTAAGAAAAAAGGAGGTGTGACAACAATAATATGTGGATTTAGTCATAATGTTTTGGTTGCTCGTATTCAAATATAAGGACTTATAAACGATAGTACTACGTTCTGTTTTGAACTAGATAAAAGTAAAAATCCAACTGTAAGGTACATCACATTCAGGTCATTTGAGGGCCTTAGGTTGTATGACGATAACAATATTAACACAAGTCTCGTTTCCTTGGTATTGCATAATATTGAGTATGATCTGAATGAGATTGTCAACCACGTCCGACTATCAATAGGTGGGTTGGGCAACGACCCATCTATTGATACAACCTATTTTGATCCGCCCAAATTCAGCCCTAACCGTCCATTTGCCACCCCTCCAAGTCTCTAATATGACATGTATTCATATGTTATCCCATTTTGGAGAACTCTGATACAGGGTTGTACCACTTGCTGCCTACCCTGAGAGATACGAGATAATGGTAATTCATATATGTTACCACAAATAAATGGTTCAAATCAATTTATACACATGGCTACCAGACCTACAACAACAGATCATTTCATAATAATAACCTCTTCCTCCAGATGCCATTTCTCAAGAAAATAGAACAAACCATTATCCTTGCCATGACGGCAGTAGTATTATATGCTTGGATCAGAATTCACTAATTGAAAGCAGCCTATCGCCTCTATCGCCTTTATAGGGTAAAGGTAAGGCTGCGTACATACTACCCTCCCCGGACCCCACGTATGGGATTAAACTGGGTTTGTTGTTGTTGGATCAGAATTCTGGTGTGATTCCTTTCCCACCTCTTTGATGGTGCTGTGACTGGGACTCCCCTGAGGCTTTTGTGTTTAAAAGAGCATCTTTTCAATGGCGTATCTCCAGCGCAGCTGGACTAATAGGAATCACACCGGAAGGTGATACAAGTGCGTCCACAAGTATATCATTTGGAGTTAGTGGTATAGTACCCTCATCCACTATCTGCACTGAGTAACAAAGTGCAACTGCAATCCAAAGTGAAAAAGTCACTATAGAAAAGGAAAATTCGTTTACTGTGAACAAAGAAGATACGGCGAAATGGTACGTAATCCTGGAAAGAAGCAGACACAGAGACATACTTTTGAGAGGTTGCTTCCAATTCTGCTCCATTGCAAGCTCTTGATATCTTGACAAAAATGTGTCATAGTAACTATTTGTGTCAAACCATGAAAAACAAAGGATCATCAACAAGAGGACAAAAACGTAGAATTGCATTGAAGAATCAACAATAAAACCATGTAACTACTCTTCTTATTTTGCTTTTCCTTTTTTCTTTAACTACCTCTTCTCCTTCCTTTCTTGTACGTTTTCTCTATTTACATTAATCAAAGCTGTTACTTCTGCAGAAGAGGAACTACAAAGACAAAGGGACAAAACCTACCCTCCACCGCGGCCCAACCGTCTTCCAGCTTTGTCAAATGCAAGTCCTTCATAAGAGAGAGAGAGAGAGAGAGAGAGAGTAAATACATAATTACCAAAAGCAATATATTTACCAACGATTTCAAGCTTTGAATCATTTAGAGTTTCACAGGCAAACATTCACTTACCAGGTAAAAGAAACAAATCAACAGGCTCATTTGCAAACAAGACTGCAACAACAAAAAAATCTTTCAATTACTACCATAAGTCCACAATCCTTTTCCAATTTTCACCCTTGAATCAAAACTGGAGAGAAATAAATGCATGTGCCAACAGACATGTGCAAATATGAGCTGTACATCAAACATAAGCGAGAAAATGTATCCATAACTAGGTTACTACCACATCTCTAGAGTCAGGAACCTTTGTATGCAAAATCTGTTTTTTTGGTGTAAAAGGAGTATTCTAGAGAGTATTGATCAGTATATGGAATTTTTAGACTCACTTGGAAATATGTAACTAGAGATTGTTGTAGGGTCTGTCTTGTTTGGTTGTAATTTGAGTACCTTCTCGGTACCTTTATTAATAAACTTTTATCTTATCAAAAAAAATAACTAGGTTACTATCTTCATGAAGTAGGTCTCAAAGATCAGCACTTTTTTTTTCTTTTTTCCTTCTTGTTGGATAAGTAGAAAATTTGACACTTCTTTCAACAATAATACTACAATACGAGAACACACCAGGAAAAGGTATCAATTTCAGAGAAGACAAAAGTTCAGCTGTACAAATGAACCTAAAAAGATATATTACACTCTTTTTCATCTTGTACTACAACAACAACAACAACATACCCAGTATATTCCCATACTTGGGGTCTGGGGAAAGTAGTGTGAACTACAATAATAATACTACAATACGAGAACACACCAGGAAAAGGTATCAATTTTAGAGAAGCCAAAAGTTCAGCTGTACAAATGAACCTAAAAAGATATATTACACTCTTTTTCATCTTGTACTACAACAAGAACAACAACATAACCAGTATATTCCCATACTTGGGGTCTGGGGAAAGTAGTGTGTACGCAAACCTTACCCCTACCTAGTGAAGGTAGAGAGGTTGTTTCCAATAGACCTTCGGCTCACAAAAGTAGGGGAGGAGAAGAGGAAGAAGAATAAGAAGAAGCAGAGGGAGAGAAAGAAGAAGAAAAAGAAAGAAAGAGGGGCAGAAAAGGAGGGGGGAGAACAGAGTAAGTAGCACCAAAATAGTAATAATAGGAAAATATGATAACTGAAACAAATTAAAAAATATGGTTTAATATAAATCTGAGAGATAGGAAAGTACATGCATTCTACTAGCACTATCCGTAAGAAAGGGAAAAGCTCTCAACTACCTGCTAACCTTCTATCCTAATCCTCGACCTCCACACCCTCCTATCTAGGGTCATGTTCTCGGTGATCTGAAGCAGCGCCATGTCCTGCCTAATCACCTCTCCCCAGTATTTCTTAGGTCTGCCTCGACCTCTTCTCAAACCCGTCATGGTCAACCTCTCACACCTCTTATCAGGAGCGTCAAGGCTTCTGCTCTTAACATGCCGAACCATCTCAGCCTCGACTCCCGCATCTTGTCCTCCACGGAGGCCACTCCCACTTTGTCCCGAATAACTTCATTCCTAATCTTATCCCTCCTGGTACACCCACATATTCATCTCAACATCCTCATTTCTTCTACTTTCATCTTTTCACGTGGAAGCTCTTGACTGGCCAACACTCCGCCCCATATAGCAGGGTAGGTCAAACCACCACTTTGTAAAATTTACCCTTAAGTTTTGGTGGCACATTCTTATCGCAAAGAACACCGGAGGCAAGCCTCCACTTCATCCATCCCGCTCCAATACGATGTGTGACATCTTCGTCGATCTCCCCATTACTCTGTCTAATAGATCCGATATACTTGAAACTACTTCTCTTGGGGATGACTTCTGTCTCGAGCTTCACATCCACGTCAGCTTCAAGGGTCCCGCCACTGAATTGGCACTCCAAGTACTTTGTTTTGGTCTTGCTCAAAAGGTCTGTCTCCAAACCTCCAACCTCGCGTTGCCCCGCCTCGAGTCTCGTCTATCAGCACTATATCATCGGTAAACAGCATGCACCAAGGCACCTCCCCTTGGATGTGCCGCGTTAGCATGTCCATTGCCAAGGCAAATAGGAACGGGCTAAGAGCCGATCCCAGGTGCAACCCCATCGTAACTGGAAAGTGTTCCGAGTCTCCTCCCGCAATCCTCACCCGAGTCTTAGCACCCTCGTACATATCCTTAATCAACCTAGTGTACGCTACCGGGAAGCCGCTAACCTCCAAGCACCTCCCTCGAAACTTTATCATACGCTTTTTCAAGGTCAATTAACACCATATGCAAGTCCTTCTTACTCTCCCTATACTGCTCCACTAGTCTCCTCACAAAATGGATAGCCTCCATCGTCGATCGCCCCGGCATGAATCCGAACTGGTTTTCGAAAATAGACACAGTCTTCCTCACCCTGGCTTCCACCACCCTCTCCCAAACCTGCATAGTGTGGCTCAACAGCTTTATACCCCTGTAGTTGTTGCAATTTTGGATATCGTCCTTGTTCTTGTACAATGGAACCATCGTACTCCACCTCCATTCTTCGGCATCCTTTTTGTCTTAAAAATAACATTAAACAACTCAGTAAGCTACTCCAAGCCAGCTCGGCCCGCATTCTTCCAGAATTCCACCGGAATTTCATCTGTTCCCATCGCTCTGCCCCAGCTCATCTTACGCATTGCCCTCTCCACCTCTTCTGCCTTAATACGCCTATAATAACCAAAATCATGCTGACTCTCAGAGTGCTCCAACTCACCCAGCATGATGCTTCTGTTCCCCTCCTCGTTCAATAATTTATGGAAGTATGCTTGCCATCTTCGTTTAATAGGTGCCTCGTCTATCAATACTTTGTTATCCTCGTCTTTGATGCACTTCACTTGGTCCAAGTCTCGAACCTTTCTCTGCCTCACTTTGGCCAACCGGAATAGCTTCTTGTCCCCGCCCTTGCCCCTAAGTTCCTCCTACAGACGTCCAAACGCCTTAGTCTTGGCGCCGTAACTGCTAACTTCGCCTCTTTCTCTGCCTTCTTATAACACTCCCGATATATCTTTCTATCCTCCTCGTCTGTACTCTCCACAAGCTTCAAATAAGTCGCTTTCTTGGCGTCCACCTTACCTTGGACCACTCCATTCCACCACCAGTCCCCTTTATGACCCCCAGAATAACCCTTCGTGACCCCTAAAATCTCTCTAGCAGCTTTCCCAATGCAACCCGCTATCGTGGTCCACATCTTAGTCGCGTCCCCCCTACTCCTCCATGCCCTCATAGCCAATAATCTCTCCCCCAACTCCTGAGCTTTGTCCTTAATCAAGTTAACCCACTTGATCCCAGGTCGCATGCACACCTCCCTCTTCCTCCTACTCCTCTTGTATCAGGTATATTATAATCTTTGTCGCTTCGTCAATCAAAGCAACCAAAATTCTTTAATGCTTTCTCCTTTCTCATCCTGTTCATGTGTTGCCTGTTTTAGACAAGTGTCTACTCACACCGAGGCACATACAAAGTGTATATCTAGACAATTACTTTGAATATGATTCCCTATAAAAAGAATTGGCTGATAACCATGAGTTCTTTTGTAGATGGGAAAAGTGTGTTGACAGAGCATATCCCATTAGTTCTAAAGACTAACTAGTTTGGCTGGGATTTATTACTTAAAAGGAAGGGACATACTTTCCCGAGGGAGCTTCTAGCAACTACTATGTAATTGTAACAACAAAAATGAGAACAAACAAAAAAGTTCCACTTTTAACATGAAACAGACAACTAATGCAGCAAGAGGCTTCCTATGCACCAAATACTTTATTCAATATGTGCACTTTAGGAAAGTTAATAAAACAGAAAGAAAGGATTACCCTAGCATAGTAACACCCATAATAGAGTTTCTGAAATGAGACAAACTTCCACAATTAAAGACAACTTTGAGATACAGAACGAAATTGCTCCTCAAAATTTTATGAATTACTAGAGGTTTTAACTCATTGAAATGGAACATAAAACAACTTGATTACGTGCATCTACCTATTGTTGCTGCAGTAAAAAAGGTTACAGCAGTGTGAAGAAAAAGAACTATTTAGTATTTACGAAGAAAAAGTAAATGTACCATCTTCACGTTCATTTCCATCAGCATCTACTGGAGCTGGTTCCAGAATGTCCATTGAACTTGCAATCAAATCGTCAGCGCTTGAGATGTGAAGCATTCTCATGTTTCTGTTCCTATCCTCCACTCTTGGAACAAAAAGCTTCTTTTGCATCTGCAAATCCTGATCTTATTTGATAATGGGAAATGAGAACGAGAATTAAGGTCTATAACTAATAAAACACTTAACGATGAAGAGAGCAACACCAAGAAATTATAACAATGTTGTCACCTAGTGCTTAATACATTAAAGAAAAATGGCCTTTCCAAGTAGTGGTATAAAGAAGCACAAAGCAACTGTCTTTTAATCATCTTAATAGGTTTCAAAGCCGCCTAGACTTAAAATAATTAGTTCCCAATTAGCATACTTAAAATATGTCAGGAGAAGTACTTGTGATATCCAATATATGGCACAACCCATTTATCAATTAATCAATTAACCACGACTCAATCCCAAACCAGTTGGTGTCACATAGAAATTCCAGAGGTTCAATCGAATTCCCTTCATTGCAAAATTATAGTATGTAAATAGAGCAAAAACTTTTTTTGGTTAATATTTAAACTGTTGAATCCCCTTTACATACGAGAATTCCAGTGTAGCGGCAAAGGGGTTTAAAATTTTTTGAATGAAACATTTTGGCTAAGCATTTTGATGAGTAGAAACACACCTCAGGATGGCTTCCGAGAACATGAGAGAGTATTTGAGTTGTATCTACTTCTCGCAAAGCACTACAGCTTATATAAGCACACAATCTCTTGCAAGCCTTAAACCATGGAGCCTCCATTACAATCCTTTGTATTGCTTCATCTAACCACTCGCATACAATTCAAAATTATCAGTATACCTTCAACGGGAATAGAAATAATCGACTTTTAAATTCGTGTGTTGGAAAAAAAAAATACCTTCTTGGGATCTAAGGGTGGAATCCATGGACTTGAGATCTCTTTTAACAACAGAACGGAGGGCCTTTTTCTGCTTGAAAATTGTTTCCAAATGGGCAGCGTCCGAACTGAGGTTTTTTTCTCCTGTGGCGCTCATGGTGGCCACGCCGTAACGCGGTGAGACTTGACGACGGAGGATGGCGGAGCGGGTGAAGAAGAAGCGGGTGCTGGATAGTGCCACGGCAGTAGCTGACGTGGCTACTGTCCAAGGATTGGTCATTTAATCGCCTGGTCGTGCGTGCACACATATGATTTATGTGTGCTCCTCACGTTTCCAAATGTCCGCAGGTTTCAATAGAATACACTTGGATTAGGGAATAACCACAGTATTCGTTACTCTCCAAATATTAGTCATAATAAGTAAAATAAGTTTATTTTAAAATAACGAGAAATTGTTGATTTATTTTTTTTCGAAGTTACTTATCTTGTTTTTAATTATTGAGATGTTTAAAGAAAAAAGATAGTGTAAATAAATACTCTTATAATTATAATTAAGGCTATTAAACGTATTACTTAAGGGTTTTGCTTGCACAAAAATCATGTAATATGAGAGGAGTATGCCAATCTCGGAGAATAAGATCTAATGAGAGTTTTTTTATATGGATGGCGAAAGATAATATATAGCATTGATGGGTCACGTGTCACTCACACAATTGACAATAACAATAACATACCTAGTGTAATCTTACAAATGGGATCTAAGGAGAAGAGTGTGTATATAGTCTTTACTCCCAACCTTGTGCAGGTAGAGAAGCTGTTTCCAGTAGACCCTCTGCTCACTTGCACAATTTACAATTATTACTAAATTACATTGATTTATCAGGGTTAATTTGTAAATTGAGATAATTGTAGCATATCTTAATTGATCGTGGTTATTGAGTAAGTTTTTTCCTTCTTATGCATACTTTCAAGGGAGCACAATTGACGACCGTTAATTGATCCGCCAAGCACTTTCCTATCAATTAGTTAAACAAGAAAGAGTGACCATTTGGTAGTTGGTACATATAGCTAAAATCCACAGCACCATCCAATTTTTGGAAACATTTGCATTAGGTAAACACTCTTCCTTTCTTCCTTCTTCACATCTACTAGAGAGAAATTAAGAGGAAGGTCATGATCTGGGGTTTACTCTACCTACCAAGATCATGATCTATCTCATTTCATCCCTTGCATTTTGATCCCTCATTTCTTCATCTCTTCTGATCAACATTCATTGTCTTGAATTTTGTTGGGTTGTTTTTATTAGACAAAAGTTAAGGTAAAAAGAATGGCTTCGCGATCTTTTAAGCGTTTGGTTGAACAAAGGATGGGGAGAGTTGGGGTTTTCTTCGTATACGCTATTCTTGAATGGGTGATGATCATTATTCTTTTCATTGATGGCTTTCTTGCATTTTTCACCAATGAATTCGCCAAGTTCTTCGAATTAAAAGTTCCCTGTTTGCTATGCACGAGGATCGATCACATTTTCATTAAAAGGAACTCTAGTTTCTATTATAATGATTCCATTTGTGAAGTTCACAAGAAGGACATCTCTTCCCTTGCGTATTGTCATGTACACAAGAAGCTTTCTGATATTAGGAACATGTGTGAAGGCTGTCTTCTCTCTTTTGCAACAGAGAAGGATTCTGATTGTGATAGGTATAAGTCATTAGTTGGGATTTTGCATAAAGACATTGATTGCTTTGTGGATGGAGATGATCAGAGAGTTTCCATAAAATCAGTGAAGAATGAAGATGAGGTCATCAAAACTGGAACTGTTGTTGTCCTGAGGTGTTCTTGTTGTGGGGAGCCTCTGAAATTGAGGTCTAAATATAAGCGGAACTTGTCTATAAATGGAGATATTTATTCTCAAGCTCCTGCCCCGTCTCCTCGATCTCCCTTGACAACATGGAAAAATGAGGAATTGCGCAATCTAGAATTGCCTCATGTTCGGTACACAGAGCTGAAGTTTACCTCAGATAATGACTCGGACCTTCCAGATGATGAGGGTCACCAAAATGCAGGTACCTATTTGTCTTAAGGATTTCTTTTGGTTCATGTTTTCTTCATTATCAGTGTTGTGGTGACAAGAAAAAAAGAATGATGAAAGAAAGAGTAGAGCTTTTTCATCTTAACTTCTGCAACTTTTACAATTAAAGTTTAAGTTCTATCCATTGTCAGTGTATATAACTTAAATCCTTACATTATCATGACAACTCATAACCAGAGGCGGAGCTAGGATTTATTGGTTTGGGATTCTAATTCTTTTAAGTTACCGAGTTCTAAATTAATAATTTGTATATATTCCATGAATTTCACAAGACAAATACAGGGTCGGGACAAAAGCTACTAAGTTCGGCCGAACCCGTAAGCAAAGAGCTAGCTCCGCCCCTGCTCATAACCTCATTCTCTCGTAGCACATACGAGACTGTCATTGTTGAAGGGGATTGTAATAATATAAGAGTTAGTATGTTGTCAAGAAGGATCTTAGCATCCACCAGCTCATAGTTCCCATCTCTTGCATAGTCTATTCTACTTTAACTCTCTTTTTTCCAATGTGTAGCAGGTAGAGATGATATTAAAGCTGCTAGTGTCCCACTTCTACCAGATCCCGAGGACATACATGATGAATCTTGCAAAACCCCAAATTCTGCAAGAAACAAACTCTTTGGCATCCCATTTTCAGACTCAGCTCAAGCCAGTCCTAAGTGGCCTTATAAGCCCAAAAAATTGGGTGGTGATAAGAGTGAATTCATTTCAGATGCTAATGACACGAGTGCAGAGAACGAAGCAGATGATGATATCTTGCATCGCTTGAAGAGGCAGGTTCGTCTGGACAGAAAGTCTCTCATGGAACTGTACATGGAATTGGATGAAGAAAGAAGTGCCTCTGCTGTTGCAGCAAACAATGCCATGGCAATGATCACGCGCTTGCAAGCAGAGAAGGCTGCTGTGCAAATGGAAGCATTGCAGTATCAGAGAATGATGGAAGAGCAGGCTGAATATGACCAAGAGGCTTTGCAAGTCATGAAAGACCTAGTTTTGAAGAGGGAGGAAGAGATAAAGGTATTGGAAGCTGAACTCGAGACCTACAGGGAGAAATATGGACATATCAAGAGAGTAGGTAGTGAGGTCTGTGAAGTCGATGCAGACGATGATTATCAAGAGTTGAAATCTCATTCTGTATCATCCTTCAGTGAAAGATCAGACTGTGGCAGTCCTCGTGATATGGATCAGGATGGAGTAAACGAGTTCCATATTGAACGCCCTGGGAAATATGGAGAGGGAGCCGTTGATGAATCAAACCTTGATTTTGAGAATGAGAGATCTTATCTACAGGGTTTGTTAACAAACCTTGAAAAGAAGATTAAAATACCTCCTGATGTTGAATCTCATGTGTTAGAATCAAATGTGATTCAAGACAGAGGTACATATGATCAGTCTTTGCTTCCTTATTTATCAGCCTTACTTTTTCTTCTCATTCTAGTTGAAAGTCAGACAACAGATACTAAAACTTTTACAGTGTTATTAGGGAATGAGAATAAGGTTACTCTTACAAGAGAAGTGTCTCTAATCAGAGAGAGATTGAGAGCTGTAGAAGCAGAAAGTGGCTTCTTAAAACACGCGGCCATGACATTACAGAGGGGTGGAGAAGGAACCAAACTCTTGACTGAGATAGCTCAACATCTGCGGGAGCTTAGATACTCTGATACAGCAACAGGGAATGGAGATGCATGACTTTTGTCCAAAAAGGTGATTTCTCTTCTTCTTAGTTGTATATCTTTATTCTTGCTCCTAGAGGTACTAGAATTTCTTTAAAAGATGAGAAATAAGAAAAAATAGAAAGCTACAATAGTTGTGTAATGTAAATTTTCTACAGATGAGTGTTCGAGAGCCACAGAATCATGCATGCTCCTTTTAGCTAAAAATTAAACTCCATTTATAAGTTTGTTGGCCGTGTTAACACAGATCAATTTTTGCTTTGTAAGTCAATGTCAATTCATTCCATCATCACTGGAATTCTAATGCTCCTAGTAATCTGCAGGAGTCAGTTATGTAACGAGTGTTTTTTGCAGTTGTTTCTCCTCCTTTTCCTCTCTTCTTCTTCCACATTAGGATGTACAGTCTTGGAAGGAGCACTGAAGTTCCCAGCTTTGGCATTTCTCGGAGCTTTACTTCTCATTACCTAGAGCCTTGAGGTACTTCTGGTAATATTCTATTCGGTGCTTGTATTTCACTGACTCCATCTTGGGCTTTTTGACTCAAAATATTGTATTAGTTGCACCCAAAGTAGCACTAGACTGCATACTGGGGGTGTAATCCAATCTTTTTCAGAAATTTGGAAGAAAAAAACAATTTTTAAGTGATTACTATATTGGAATGTGTTAATATCAGTCTGCAATGGACCGAATAGAGGATCCAAAGAAATTGATTGCTTTAAACTTTGACTTTCTGATGAGGATTAAATTTAAGTGCTAAGTTTGAATATTTAAACTTAAGTGCTGACTTTGACGTAACTTTACAGGATAATCGCCATGGAAACACGTAGGTTAACTTAGGTTGGATTCTTATTGACGTATGATCATATTTTAAAGGCCCCAATGATGTCCCACTATAGACGACTATACATCTTCAACAAGGGCTTCAAATTGATCAGGATTACCATTTTCCAATAGGAAAAAAGAAAAATATAATATCTGACCTGTTGTTGAAAGGTATATGGCTCAATATGCGAACACTTGATCTCAAGGTACTGATTAATACTGTTTTTTGCAGGTGAAGTTGGCTTGGAACCAGACAACTTTGAAATAATCCAGCAAAAGGCAGAATGGACTCATGGAAGGACTCCAATGAGAAACGGAAAAATAGTTTTGTCAAATGTAAATGCATATAGATGGTTATATATTTGTATGATATCCACCTCTCTTGACCTCTTGCAATCTATTTGAAACTGAGTTGTTTCACCAGATGCTACGATAGGAATTCCATTGACAGCACAGCTGTTTGTTTAGCAGATAATAAATATAACTTAAACAGTAACTAAACGAGCAGAATGGAAGGTGTGAGCGAGCATTAAATGGATCCTAATCTTCTAATGCGTTACTTCTCTTTCTTTCTCACTCATAGACACCTTCATTTGGTTCCTAAAGCCTCAATTTACTAGAATCTTCATTTTCGTTTCCTCTCTTTTATAAGAAGGGATGAAAATTTCCTCCCAAAATGCTTTGATAAGAGCTGCTATTGCGATTGTTCCAATCTTGGTTTCTGAGCCAAACTCAGTCTTTAGACAAGCTTCCCTAATTCCCCAAAGCTTTCATCAGAGTATGCCACAGCAGACAAGGATACAAGTCATCAAGTGATTGTGCGCCAACACATCATAAATGGTAGAGCAACCAATGTTAGGATGACCAGAAATTCCAAAAGAACAAGATGATTCCAAGTCCAACAGATTAAATTGTACTTAAACAGAGGAAAGTTTGCTGTCCAACAAAGATACAAAAGTTACCCTATACTTAATAACCTTTTATAAAGCAAGTAGCAAACTATAAGGCCGACAGTTCATAAGTTTCTTAAATCTACCTTTCAAATAAGGTGATTGTCGAAGAAGTAGATATAACTTAGCATAACCAACCTTCTCGAGTCACTTCTACTAAGCTGTACAAGATTAAGTGAAGTTATCCAGATAGGTGAGCCCTAGTTATTGCCTAAGCTGAAGACAACACATCGGCAGACATGTAAGGTGAGATGCAGCCTTGTACCTGAGGAGAACCAACTCACATTAGACAAAGTATTCAGAAAATTTATCAGACAATCGTAATACCCATTCTTTCTCTAGTGTTATGCACAAGCTGAAAGAATTACAGTTGAAATACAAATCAACAACAATTTGAGAAGAATGAAAAGATTATTTGCAGTAACAGTCTCCCTGAAGTTGTCCTCTTCACTTTGAAATGATTTCTTTGACATCATTAGCCCCAAGCGAAAAGAACAGATCATGTATGTGTACAGGTTCATCAGCAGATGTACTTATCATGCAAACTGTACACAACCATTCTAGCTTCCTAAAAATGAAGTTTCTTCTTTTTCCTTTTTATTTTATTATTTGTTTCTGATAAGTTCCTGAAACGAAGTTTCAAACTAGGCCATTATAGGTATTTGAGGGTAGCTCACATGGTGTGACCCCCTCCATCCTTCTCCCTATGGTGAAGGATCGAATCCCATGATGTAATTCCCCCTAAACCTTGCCCCTCCCCCTCCCCCTAATAGTAATAAAATTTTAGAAGAAAAAAGCTAGGCCATGATCGTCATTTCTTAATTGGAAAAAGATAAGGATAACATCATACCAAAAAAACACCAGCTTCTTGTGCGATTGTATATAAACAAGCCATCTTTCAACCTTCTAAATACAGAGGCTACTTATAGTTTACCACAGTCCACAGATAAAAGGATGCAGGATGTGAAACTTCATAATTTTCCAGTAAATCATGCCAGATAAGAAAACAGCATGCAGTGTCACAGGTCTAAGTTATCTATTATTTCATAAATACCTTTTGATTCAAAATTTGTCCTTTACACCATATATTTTCTTCTGTTATAATTCTTCTCATACAACATAAGCCATAAAAATAAACAAGTACTATAGCCAAAGCAAAGAAAAAGACTAAAACAAGGAACAGCAGGTATTAGATTGACTAAGCAAAGGGAGGCATAATTACCTGCAACAAACAAGTCGGTATTTGGATAAAGCCCTGTAATAGAAGATCCACCTTCTGTAGACTACTTTTTGGAACAGGGGTAATTACATAGAGTACATGCTTCAGAGCGTCAATGGCACGCACTATTCCTGAATCATTTTGAAGCAGGGAAAGAAAGAAAAAAATGAGAGGGAAGTGACATCCAATAGCAACCTCAAGTTTAAGCTTATTAGGAACAGAAAACACCGCCATTTAACACTAAACAAACATGTCTTGATCTAGTTCTATGGTTGGGCATAGTGTGATTCCTCTAGCTAATACAAAGGCAGCCGAGTCGCAGTTAAGAAATAATGTTTGATACGGACAATCAGTGATAATAGCACAAACTTCTGCATCATCACATACAAGTGACCATTAGTGTTGCGGAAATGGATCCAACAAGCAAGATCACTGCTAAATGATGCAATAGCATACAGTACATTTTACTAAGTGTATTCATTGTAAAACTAGATCATTTGCATCATGTTCATGCTTCTCGCTCTCATGGTTCTTCAACTACCCTATCTGTGGCTAAACACTTAAAATTCCACATAAATAAACACTGTGACCTGCAAAAAATACTGAAGTCCTCCTAGACGAAGAAAACAAGTAATTGTCCACTGAAAAGAAGCAAAACTGGTAATATTTTTTAGAGAGGTAAATAAAACTGACAATATTACAAAACAAGTGTGGGAATCTAGTTGCAACAACTTACCCAAGCCCATGCAGTCAGGAAAATTTTCAGAATATTCAGAATCAACTGCCAAACCAACAATAGTTGCATTCAAGCTGTAGAAAACCTCACTCTTCGGAACCTGGCATACGGATATAAAGCTAATCAGAATATGACAGAAATATCTAAATATATTTGTATAAGACTGGAATAATAGTAAACTATTTGAATAAATAAGAAGAGGAAGCAAGAATGTTGAAAATGCCCCAGGCAAGAAGATCCAACAGATATGGACGGCAATGCTCTTGGCCAACACCAAAGTTACAAAGCATTGCATGTAGAACATGTCATTCAGCATGGCATAACCTACCTCACAATGAACGTGTTTAATTTTGATACTTGATACAGGAATCTCGTATGGAGGGTGGGCAGCTAATGCTCGAGAGAGTTCCTTGATTGTTGTGATTTGCATATCACTTGGAAAGCATTGTCTGAAATAGGCCATAACACGTAGATCACGCAGAAGGCGTGCATCCTTCTGTACAAGAACCCTGGGAAAACATATCAGAGGACTAAGAAACAAGAGGGATATAAATTGTTTAAGGAGCAGAGACAACCCAACCAATTACAAATAAATTCTGGATCTTGCTTAAGGCATATGGAGTGATATGTGGTATGTATAGTGACCCCCCCCCCCCCCCTTCCACCATCCCTCCCTCCCTTAACATATTTTAAGGGCTAAGGTAAAGAGATGTTAATGTAGGAAAAGCATCTTTGTCAAGAGAATTATTTCCAACTCAAATGGAATATAACTTCACTCCTCTGATGTAAAAACTAAAAGAGAGAAAAGATAAACACATACGATCTGTTAAAAGAGTCCTGACGAGCAGAGTTGATCTCAATTAGAGTTGAAACAGCAGCATCACCATCCTCAACCCAAAATGCACCAGCTGGAAGATTCTTGCTCTCAGCTGATATGCAAATCTTTACAACATGGGTAGGAGAGATGTATTTTAGAATATCCACAAGAATGTCATAGCCAATACCTGTAAGATGAGAAAACCAGAATCAGACTTGATCATGAAAATTGCATCCAAATCGATGATAAAACGAACGACACTAGCCTAAATTCAGACAAAAGCAAGTAAATAAATACAGAAGCTTGCCTTTCACCCAGCCCGTTGTGTTAATGACAAGCGGCACCCCAGCATTTCCAGGACTTTCGCCATTGTTCAACAGGTATGTTCTCCGGTAGTGATCATACAAGGCAAATATATAAGCCAAGTATGTTTTGGGATCCCTTTTTGAGGATATGTCACCAAAAAAGAAGCATCTGAAAGAAAAATTTTGGAGTCAAAATCAATATCAAGCAAATTTTGGACTTGCTACCAAAAGAGGATAAAATTTCTTTCATTCAACTCATATATTTCAGCAACTACAGAACTTATGCACAACTTAGCTTACAGAACTCCCAAAGACAAAAGAAAGCAGCTTTTCCACTTTCATGTGACAAACTAAAAAGGCATCTCTCTCTTCCAGCAAGATCTAGACAAAATCTTCAATGTGGTTGAGGACACTCTTAATTTCTCAAATGCCAATGCTCTCTGCTACAAAGGAAATCTACTACCAGATTTAAGCTGCAAACACCAGCTTAAAACGGCGTTAAACCTCTGGCACATGATTCAAATGCAAAGCATGTTTGCTATTAGAGTCCCGGCGGCCATTCTCCATTTATTATTATTTCTTTTTTAACAGCCGTAGTTTCAGGGCCAGCTTGCACGCACATCGACTAATTCCACGGGATACCAGCTAACTCCCACTAGCGACAGGTATCAGGTAACTTTATCCACCAAGGTAACTCTATCCAGCAAGGTTTGGACAAATGGAAAGAAATCACCTACTATTTTTGTCTCCGTTGGGATTTGACCTGAGACCTCAGATTCTCAATCCACTTCATATGACCACTAGGCCACACCCTTGGGTGCGCCATTCTTCATTTACCACTAGGCCACACCCTTGGGTGTGGCATTCTCCATTTATTTGCCCTCTTTACATAAGAAAAAAACACTAAATATCATATTGAACATGGTTAAAAAAATAGACTAGATATCATATCACTCGTCCTATTTTTTGCTGCTGCAAGACAAGGATGGTGGGAGTGGAAAGGGGAAGAAGGGTTCTAAACTCTTCCAAGAACAGAGACCGAAAAGAGTATACAAATTTAAGTATGTCTTTTTCTAGTTAAACAAGTAACAACAGAAGTGAATTAATGGCACAAAGTTATGTTTTCCCAAGACATGGATTCAACAACTATACCTCTCAGGAGTCTTTAGGCACGGAATTGATAGATCTGATGCAGAAAGACAAGAAAAGAGAGGAATGTGAATAAAAAGCATCATGCGAAAAGCTCAAACACAAACATGTAACAGTTGAGGAATAATAGGTGTACCTGAAGTTATTTTGTCAATTATAGTAAGGGATAACAAACCAGGTGGAGTAAACTCTGTCTGCCCAACATCTGTATCCAAATAAGCCACTTTCTTGTATCTGAAACCCAAAGACAATTTATGATCAAATATGTACTTCTGTAGTCAAAGAAATTTTGGGATCAACAGGCTATAATTACCTAACTCAGACAAAAAGGACACAAAGCCTCTCACAAACAGCCAACAATA